ATGATTGAAATGTTCTAGAGATTCAGTCTGCTTCGGTATGCTTCAATATAAAACATATGATCAAATCATATAACAACAGATCATAGCTCAATTATTCTCCCTTTCCCTATACTGATGGCACCTCGTGGCTTGACACATCATCTATTCAAGCCTCCTCGTCAGTGTCTGGGTAGTCGTCGCTTGGAAAGCCTCCACACCGCATGCCCGTGCAACCGGTTTTGCAGGCTCAGCACACGACTGGTCGTTGCACGTGGAATGTGCAGGGCTTGGAATTGCGCCAGGGTTGCCCCTTGATAGGATGTCAGGGACGCCATTGGGTTCCCAAGAAAAGTAATTCAACTTGGAACTCTGAGACCACAGAATCCAAATGCTAAAATTGTGTGCAATCAAATGCACCTGATTCAGCTGTCGATGTCTTTCAAGAGAGGTTCTTCCAGCTTCACCCAACCCACATCAACCCACCAAGATTCTAGTTGGTCCTCCCGCTCAAGACACCCATGTCAGAATACCAACTCTTGGAATCGCCCTCTCCACCGATTTGAATCGCGCTCTCCTTCCATGGCCATCTCCACGATTGGCGTCACGTGGGACCCGTGGGCAAACCGGTGGTGACGATGCGGGGAGGGAGATGCAAGCCACTCGAACCGAAATGCCTCCAGACCGAAGTGGCGATCTCAGGCTGACGAGCGAAACACAAAGGATCCAAAAGGCTTCCAAAAACTATCCATCATATCTACCAGAGACATCCTTTTGCAGAACTCCTCACCTTGATCTGGTCCACAGAAGCTGTCAAAGTGAAGTGGACCTGGCTGAAAACTTTGGAACTAGCCAAACTGTGTAGCAAAGTCAGTCGTTTAAAGGGCTCATGCGTTGGATCTGATCAAGCTACTGTAGTTGATACCAGCAGCAGATGGCAGGGGCAAGTCGTGGGTGACTTTGTTAAAAAAGCGGATAGTTTGGACATCTTGTTGATTGCGTACTCCAAACAAACAATTCCCAAAACCCTGGATGTGCAAAACGAGAACGGACAACTCAGGCCGGAAATGAAGAGAGCACATGACAGTCTACTGCGGCAGTTCACAAGTACAGTATATCAATGATAATGTGTACTTCTCAAGCATGCTTGACCTTGAATCGAGATTTGATACTTCAATTCTATGGGTGTCAAGGGCTATGTTCCACGTCCTCAAAGTGAGTCACGTTGTCTCCGTTTTTCTGCGCCAGGAGGACGGAGTTTTCCTGAGCATTCGTTCCATGCGTTCGACGACTCTGGAGACCTCTTTGACTCGTTCCACGACCCACCGTCACCAACCGGCGAAGCTCCGGGCGGTCAAGGTCGATTCGAACGGGACGCCCAGCGATTCGATCAGGGTCGACTCACCCGGCCTTTCGTGACCAAACGATCTGACCAGCCAAACGAACATCTTCCTTCAATTTCCTTCACATCCCTTCACAGTATCACCTGTCACATAGACCATGAACAATGGAGCAAAGCAGCACCGCACCCATGTTCCACAGTGCAGCAAAGAAGCTGTATGATGTTCCTTGAAGTCGTCAATCTTGCCGCGAGCATTCTCACCATTGGCCTTTCACTCAGAATCCTTCCCCTCCATACCATGTCATACCCGCTGAAAACATGATAAAAACATGAAAACATTATAAAACCACTCATGTCTCCGTCAACCCTTCGCCTCCGTCATCTTGCTGAGAAACTCCTTGTAGTCCTTTGTCAATGTCTCTTCTTCGACTTTGGACCGCATCATAGGATGATTCAGCACGGGTTGGTCAAAATCCATGACTTTATGTTTATGAGATCAAAACACCTGGCTTTCCTGAAGGACATGGGTCTGCGGGTTTCAACACCACCATAGGCTGGCTAAGGGGGCCTAAGGTTACTTACAGAAGAGAAAACATCCAGTGGCCACTCTGTCTGTGTCCTGCGTCCATTTCTTGATGGGAAGCTCAGTGATGTCAAGCTGATTGTTCGAGATCTTCTCAACAATCCCGGCCACCTTCACAGCTGCACCGAAAACTCTGAAACGAAAAGCATGAGACGTCTTCCTGCTGGGGCAAAACAAGTTAAACAAGATCTGGAACATCGTGTGTCATATCCGTTCATTGAGATCGAGGAGTGAGCCAGAAACCCGTACATCATACAACATCACATAACTATTATAACTATTTGGAAGGAATCCAAACAACTATGGGTTTCTTTCTTCCTTTGGTGGATACGTTTCGCTCTTGCCTCTTCCACGCTAGTCCGGACCCTGGAGTTTGAAATTAAGGCCTGCATTCATCGCCTTCCTTTGCCAATGGTGACTTGGATCTCCTATATCCAAAGAGCCTTGTGGTGATTTTGGCCACAGGTCTGTCAATACATGTCAATACCGATACGTCGAAATGGCCATCATTGCTCGTGAGCAATGATGGCCATTCGGAACTTGGAAGTGCCAGCTGAGTCATAAAGCCTGCTGACTTGCAGCACTTTGAGAACTTGTGCTTCTGTGGAGGTCAAACAGATTCATTTAAACCCTGAATCATGGCAGCCTTAGATAGCCTTAGCCGCAGGACCAAGTGTATGAAGAACTCGTGTCTTGAATGGTCTCTGCCATGGAAGCCTCAAGAAGTGGCTGGTTTGTACTTTCTCATTGCAAGTGCACTTTGAGGGCATCCAGGACAGCCTATCACCACGCCGCTCAGGTAGGGCGCGCGAAAAACATTGAAAGCACCTCGAAGCCGCCCTTCTCGGGATCCGGATTCGGCTCAATGCTCCCCTGCCATCTTCGTGGCTTAAATGGTTTTCGCCCATTTCCAAGGTTCTTCCGAAAGGCCCACACAGGAGCAATTATAAGATATTCAAAGAACACAAGAACTGGAACAACGGAGGTCACCGAGAGGGAAAGACACATACTACGAACAGCCAGACTTTAGCGCATCTGGCCATCTCTCCAATGTGAGCCTTGGCTAGGCTAGGATACTCAGGCTACTCGGCCACTTGGGCATTTTGGAGTGGTGGGTATAAGGTTGGAGGCCATCGCTAGTGGGTTGGAGGCCATGACCCTTTCTTCGCGCAACGAAGGATGCCTGGCTGCCGGTCTCCGTCCGCTCCCCTTTGCTGCACTTCGCTCCGCTTCGCCCCGCCTTGAACCCTCGGTACCATGGAGAAAGACTGACACCTGAGGTCGGTCACTGGGCTTGAAAGCATTTCCAAAAGGTAGTCTTGAATGTGCAGTATATATAAAACAACAAATAACAATGCAAATATTTACGGTATAAAGCTAACTGTATAGTGCGGTCTTTGGACACTAAGACCTGCCGTGACCTCCGAGGTCTTGAGGGCAATGCTTGTCTTCTGCTTCTTGATGAGTTTGCGCAGCCTAGGAGGTGACAAACCAAAGGTCCATCTCGTGCAAGGTGCAAAGCGAAGTGTTGGGAGTTAAATGGCGGATTTTGATACTGCTCAAACAACAAAATATCTTGCTTTGAAAAGGCAAACAGGCTCTTAGGTCATCCTACAAGCCAAACTCAGGCCGCAACATCTGGATAATGTCCCTGGCATTTGAAATCAACACTCTTGCTTAGGGATCACAGGCTTCCTCACGAGCGCTGCCCAGTAACTACGTAGTTATATAATTGAATTGTCAAGTTTATCTGCTGCCGTTGACCATCGCTGTACAGAATGGTACGCAGTGTAATCCAGTGCCTGCCAGGTCAACACCGCTATCCACGTCTTGAAAATCACTACCACCCAACACCAACATCACCAACTGACAGTTCCTATCAAACAACTCAGCACCGGTGCGATAGCCCTGCCTAGGATTGTAATTTGGGACGGAAGTCGACCATCCGGTTCCAATCCCATCGGCTCCATTCACCAAAGCCTCCGGAGATCAAGGTGCAAGCAATTGTCAGGTCATGATAAAATATGATTAGTGGAGCGTGGCAAACAAAACACTTTTGGCCACCTAGTCTTATTCATCTACCATCGGCAATTTATTGTTAGATTCATCGCCCCGCTTGCAGGGTCGTGCATGTCTGCTAGCTTTCTATGGTGTGTCGAGCACATTGGTTGGTCCATCACTTTTCGCCAGCGCCAAAGCAATCTGGATCTGCAAAGGCTCCGGCCACAGGAATGACCGGAATGTACCATTTCCTCAGCGGTTGAGTACAGAAGTCTTGAAGTCATTGAAGTTCTGAGAAACTCAAAGGCCCAATCGGCTCGATGGTCTGGCCCTCCTCATTCTGGAAGTCCAACAAAGGGTCCTCGGCGGTTGGTGAACGATGGGATCGATGCCTACTATCCACAGAACAGTGCAGGACCCGTTCTGACCAGCAAATTGTTCCATCTTTCAGACCCTGTCAGACCCTCTATCTTTCTGCGAGCGAGCCCAGCTGCATCGTCAGGATGAAAGATCGTTCGAGTGATTCGCCTGAGTTAGCATTGGGAGTCGCCATCCAAAGAAGTGCAAAAGCTGTCAAGAATCCTGCTCAACAGCAACTGGCACTGCGGCGCCCCTCTTTTCTCATTCCAGAGTCACATTGGCAGAAGTGAGCCGTTGGACGCCAAATTTGGGACGCTTCGCCGTACGCCCGGCGAAAACGGATCTCTTGTACTCAGGGCCAAAATGATACAATGGCAGCGCATGGCTGCGCTGCACGCACTTCTGCTGCCGATGCCACGCTCACAGTATGGCTACAGCTTGTGCCTAGACTGTTACTCTCCCAGGCCACCATTGGGGATAACTCCAATGGTGGGTGGACAGGGCTGGGCTTGCGAATCGTGTCCACCGGCCACCTGGTGTGATTTTGAGGCTTCCATCTTGGATTCATTCACAGGTACCCACATCTGTTCGGAACGTGAACCTGAACAGAATGCCTCTGTGGCCGGAGTTCGGCCTTGTGACAGGATCTGCAAACTTAAAGATTGCTCTGAATAACAAAGCCAACCCATGCTTGTTGGACTGCCGAGCTGTCAACAGTCGATGCTCATGGCGTCTGAGTCAGGACTTGACCAGCTCCTGAGCCAACTGGATGGAAGGAAGCAAGGAGGGGTGTTGAGCTGGGCCAGCAACGGGAACATGTTTTGAATTGTAGATTGAAACCTGCATCCTCGCTCGGTGTTTGCATGGCAGCCGACGAGGTGCCATGCAAACACTAAGAGCCTAGATATGCCATAATGTTGGCATGTTTACATCATCTAGGGAGCCGCGGCGAGCCGCGCAAGCACAAACAAAACCCAACTGAGCATCATATTCGATCGCTGAAAGGTCGTTCTTCTTGTTGACTTCGCCAACATCGTGGTCCTGCGGAGGCCCAGATGTAATTCGCCCGGCCGATTTCTGCAACTTGGACCAGGCACACGACCAGACCGTAAATCGGCCAGATTATACATATATATGTAAAATACCCTTCCGATTCATTCTTTCATACTCTTTCTTTTCCGTTTATATAACCTAGCTCTGCGAAGATTCTATGTGGGTGAAAGGACTGACAAGCAAACCTCAGACATTGAGGGGCTGAGTATTCGGAAAACGTCTATTGCTTAATATTAACAAAATGGAAGGTCTGAGTAGGAGATGTGTATAGTCGTGTCATGTGCCACCTGAAGTTCGTGCGGCCTGTCGTACGCACATATCTTGCCACATCGACGAGTGAAGTTGGATCGATCCTCCTCCTTCAAAGCAGACCATTTGTCCACTAGCAGCTGCATATGGCCTCTTTGATCAGGGAAAGTCACTGAGAGCATTGTATAAAGTCCCTGGGAGGCTGTTGTAGTTGCCCTAGTTATTCCATGCTATTCCATGCTATTCCACCGCAAAGTGGGATTTAAGCCTGTTGGGAAAAAGACACATCGCCCACCGCTGCCTTTGCTCATGACCACCCGGGCGTTCTGCACCCGGACCACCTCCAAAGGACGATCGGACCGGTGGGGTCTCAGTCGACGAACGCAGTGGTGCGAACTCTTGCGGGAGGTCTACCGAACGCATGGAATGTTGGCTGTTGAACCATATCCTTTTGGTGATAGATTCAGAAGACAAGTGTCTAACCAGTTTGGAGGCCACTGCCTTGTTGAGATCCGTACTGGAATCATTCTTGCGGAATCGCACCAAACTGCACAGCAGGTTCAACACTTCTGAAAATAGTTCAAGGTATCAAAAAGTCCTCACAGTGTGTATGCCACACAAATCCCCGTGTAGAAAAGATTGCTAGGCTTAGCCTCTGGCCCACCTGTGGCCTATGAAACGAGCAGTTGCCAACAAACCAACAAACCACCGAATCGTCCGTTTTGCAGTAGGACCATCATGCTAGAGACTTACATTGCACTCCATCAAACAATCATGGAAGTGGAAAACCACATGTTTGTAGACTAACATGGTCATCCAAGGGACCATTTCCACGTAACCATGGTTATTTCAAAAGAAGAAGCTGTCTGAGTTGTCGATCCTTCAGTTGTCGTATCGCCAAGGTGACGCTGCAAGCAATCATCGGATGGTCTCACGCCTTCCCTTCGCTGCATGCTTTGTACTTATCACCGCCTCAGCCAAAGACTACTTGGCCAAAGGCTAGTCCCAAGCAATTCAGCACCAAACCGTGTTTCAGTATTTTTCTTCGCTTCTTTTTGCTCTCTCCCCCCCAAAAAAGTAATGTCAGCTCAGATGTCTCCCTTTAGAACGACACTCATGGCCACTCTCCAGGAACCCCAGCGGATTCTCAGAGTCACAGTACCCGAGGAATCGCCGATGGAGATTTCATGGGCATCCTTCATCAGACCAAAATAAACTTCGTTCGGCTAGCGATTGAAGGCTTCTTATCAAAACATTTCAAACATATTTTAATAGCAAAGAACATCAAAAAGGGTGGACAAAGGCTAAGATGAAGCAGCTATGATTGAGAGGTTGGAAAAAACACTGGCCCATTCAGGTTCATTCAAAACCAAAGGCTCCTCATAAAGGCTCTCCGCTTTTGTGAGGACTTGGCCATAGACATTGACTCCTGCCAATGTCCATGTTGAGGCAACTTCTCTCGGGTGGTACGGTACTCTACCCGGTTTAGGATATCGCTTTTCGAGTACCAGGTTACCATTGCAAACGATTTACTGATGAAAGCACAATTCTTGTGTTTTCCAAGTTCCAGGGCATAGTACCAAAACACATGGGATTTGAATACTGTTCAACGTCTTCTCGGTATCACACGTAGTCTGAGCGTTTTTCACTGTACGGCTCTGATGATGCAAGGAACGTCTACAGCGGAAAATACCTTCCGTTGGCATTTGACAAGATTTCTGGCCTTTGGCTTCTGGTTCAAGGTCCGAAATCTTTTGAAACTTGGGCTTCTTCAACTTGATCGGAGGGTTCTGCAAAGCAAGGATAGCCAGTGACATTCAAATGATGTATTCCACACTGACCAGCACATGCGAATGCTATGGCACTCTGATGACTTCAACCCACTTGCATGACAAGAACCGTGAAATGGTACCAAGTGGAAAACATCTCGACATGTGTTCCGTACTACACTCTGTAGCTTTTTCAATTACGTGTCGCAAACGTCTCCCTTGAAAAGCACTCAACCGTCTGCCAAAGGCCAAAAGCATTACAGTATGCGGCGCAAACATCCCAAATATGTTGATGTTGGCTTCTTGATTCTGTTAGTTCACCTTCAGCTTTAGCCGCTATAGCCCTTGAACTTCACACTGCCTCTCGGTCTGCTGTTCTCAGAAGTGCTTCAACGCCCTCGCCCTGCTTCGAATGCCGTTCATGCGAAATTCACATGCTACAGGGAATGACCAGCAGCTGGAATAGGCAAGTCAAATCCGGATGGAACATAGTAACATAGTTCCATTTGAGAGGATCGAGATCGGGACAAGAAACAAGATCCATGACATCCCCTCCTACGATCAGAGTCCATCTAGCACAGCCGCTTCTCAGGGCCTTCAGTAGCTTTAAGGACTCCGCAAGGACTTCAGCCACTGTGTCCCTTGCAACCTCACAGGGACAGCCGAAAGCCGTCACCAAGTGTTTCTAAGCATTCCTGAGTCCCCAGTGTCACATGTAATCAGATCGTCTTGAACTTACAGCGCTGAGTAGGGTGAACGTACTTGGCGGCCCGCCGTGCTTATGTTTGGTTCTCCTTCAAATCATCTGCTGAGCAATAAATTTGTAGTCCGTTCCGTAGAAAAGAATGTAGGTGGTCACATATATATTCTACTTACCCCAGTATGCAGTAACACACATAGCTACCCGTGAGCCACTTAGAACACGGTCGCCATAAGGAACGTAGGTTGGTCTTTGCCATCCCTGCTTGCACAAAGGGTTGAAGGGTCGGAAGTGATGCTCTCTAACTATACGGCCTTGTCACTCAGCCACCAGTTCTCCAAAAGCAAATGGACTACTTAGAAAGTCTCACCCAAGCCGATGGTAAGTTGCGGTATGTGCTTAGTGAGTTGACCTCCAGTAGGGATATGTGACCCAAATAAACATGTATATGTGTTTATTCATAAAGTCATCTTAACGGTATAACGAAAATACAATACGGAAATACAAAACATGAAAACATTATTCATGGTTATATAAAAACATTGAAACCGATTTCATGTTTTGTTCATTCATCCGAAAACATGTATGTTTATTCATAATTACAGAAATACATGGCAATACAAAACCCAATCGCAAACGTGTCATGTTGACGGATTTTTTGGACTGGGTTCATATTCTATCCAATCCAGGGTAGTTGTAGATGTATACTACTTGAACATATTGTCATATTGACCACAGTTGTAACATTCACTGAGGCACTTACAAAACGGTACAAAGGGGATCAACAGATCAGATTGTACACCGGTTCGCAGAAGTCAAAGCAATTTCAGAAACCACGCCAGTACCACATGAGACGCCGCGCATTCAGGAAGTCAAACAAGTCAATGCAAAAACATGTGGTGGTTGATCTAAATTCCTTTCATCTGGAAAGTGCCTCTTCGCGAAAAAAAGATTACTTTCGCGAACCCCATGTTTAACTTTCGCGAACTTTCGCGAAGTATGATCTTACATATTCAGAAGAAGTTCGGGTACATGGGTATATATAGTAGTTAAAGGAAGACTCTGATTTCCTTCTGAGCTGGTGGTCTGAAAAGATCACAGTAAGCAAACAAATAAGGGTCCCTTTACCTACAAATAACATACATGGTTACATCAACTTTCGCGAAAAAAGATTACTTTCGCGAACCCTGTGTTTAACTTTCGCGATCTTTCGCCCGGTTGGTACTTAGTAACCGAAATGGCTGTTCCATATGAAACTCCTTTCATGGACCTTTAGATCGATGCCCATGTAAATCACCATCAGGACGCACCGATACAACTATGTTTGTTTCTATCGTTTAATCTTACTTGAACGCCTCAGAAAACTGTATTCCAGCATGTGGACGCACATCCAACAATGATCAGGAAACGAAGGAAATTGTATGTTTCTTGACTGAGTTCACCATGGGACGCCGTATGATCCACTCCACCAAAGTGACGGTTCCCCAAAGCACTGATACTAATCCATGTGCATGCTCCAGTGTGGCTTCGTGATGGTTGTGGTTTGATCATTGGCTGACTTGAGCATGTGTCTTGAATCCCTACATAACCACAGCAACCAACTCTGTCGAGGATTTGTGGCAGCAGCCTGATTCAGGATTCCTTGCCGCGGCCTGATTCAGGATTTCTCGCTGCGGCCTGATTCAGGATTCCCCGCCGCAACCTCACCAGAAACTGGATGATCTAAATCAGGCTGCAGCAAGGAATCCTGAATCAGCTGCTGCTGCTGCTGTGGTAAAATAGGGATTCAAGACACATGCTCAAGTACGCAAATGGTCAAGCCACGACCATCAAATGGATTTTGCCTTATTCCCTTTCCTATGCAGCTGCCTTCGATGGCTGAGCCATGTACTGCAAAGACCTGTGCTTGCCATATAGGTCTGCAGCCATTGGAGAGCAGGAAACGAAGGGGTGGCTTGGACGAGGTACCGGACGAGGTGGCGGACGAGGTACCAAACTACATCCGCCACAGCTCCGCCATGACATGTCTCCACTCTTTTGATGCAGCCAAGCAGCCAAGCAGCAGCAGCAGCAGACAAGCAGCAGCAGCAGCAGACAAGCAGCAGCAGCAGCAACAGACAAGCAGCGGCAGCAGCAACAGACAAGCAGCGGCAGCAGCAACAGACAAGCAGCAGCAGCAGCAACAAACAAGCAGCAGCAGCAACAGACAAGCAGCAGCAGCAACAAACAAGCAGCAGCAGCAACAAACAAGCAGCAGCAGCAGCAGCAGCAGCCGCAGCAGACAAGCAGCAAACAAGCAGCAGCCAGGCAGCAGCAGCAGCAGCCGCAGCAGACAAGCAGCAAACAAGCAGCAGCCAGGCAGCAGCAGCAGCAGCAGCAGGCTTCAATGCGCACAAACCCAGGCTCCAAAGCACACACAGGTACCACTTCCTCTACTTGAAGTAAGAACACCAACAGTGCTCGCTTTGTGACAACCAGTTTGCAACCTAGTGGCGGCTTTAATTGGATTTCTGGTGTGCACTATGTGCATGGAAAAGTCATCTTCTGAGAAAAAGTCTATCTGCTAAACACCAGCAGGACGCAACTGTGCATCGACTTCCAAAAATCTTTCCCCAAGCTGGGACGCACAATTTATCAAAACGCATCGACTTTCACATCTTGGAGTAACCAAAACAAGCCACCAAGTACCGTTTACATCTGTTAGTCACATGCCCACCGTGAGCCTTCTCTCCAAAAGCAGAATGAAGAAACTTCTTCGAGGCCTGGAAATCATGCGAAATGGCTTGGCTTCGATATTGGTCTCACACGAGTACAAAAAGCCAGGGACTAGCCTAGTGACCTTCAGTCGCCAGGATGCATGCAATCAATGAGGTCGCTGAAATTCAAGTCCCTGCGGCAGGTGCCTCTGCCGCCTCTGAGCCATCAGCCTTCTCCCAAGCCTCTCCAGCTGGACCTTTCGAAGCCCGACCAATGATCAAGGGACTCCTCAAATTAGCAATCGAGTTAATACAGTAAATGCCGTACACAAATCTCCCCAGCTTGACAGGGAAATGCAAAAAGAAAACGGAAGAAGGGAGAAAGGAGGACAGAATGCACGGGAAGGTGGCTTGTTTTGCCAGGTTCGATTCCCCTGAAAGTGAATTGCACTGCAGGTCCTGATGTGACTGTCAGAATGAATATGTCACTGCAACGAGGCGTTCAACTAGGACAAAATCCCCATCTGCTCGCTGGGTCGCCTGTGTAACTTGCGAGGATTCTTGTATTTTGATCCAAGTGCTGCCTGTGAACCAGCCTCGCATGCTCTCTCCCTTGTCATCACGGTTGAGCTTGGCCGCTGCTGGCAGTTCTGCACCGCCTCTGAAAAGGAGTGAACATGTCCCTGAGGTTGCATGTCAATGCATATACAGTAAATGGTTTGTAATTGTGTCTCTGCCTCTGCCTCTGGCT